AGCAATTGCAATGCTTCTTCCATTGGCGTGAGAAATGAAAGAAAGTACCAACTTTCAGATAAATGCTTATCTACTTGCACCACCACTGATGCTCCTACTTTCGACTTTGTCAGCTAGACGAGGTTTTTACGTTTTAAAAGCTGGAGGTAGCTTTCTGTTCCAGACAGCCTTTGATCTTACTTTTAGATAAGAATACATTCCTTCATATATATCTGGTTTCATCAAGTACCTTTAGCGCCCTAGTGCTACCACCCTTGGAATGTAAAATAATCTAAATTGCACTTCCTAGCGTGCTCGACTCCTATTTTCGGGCTGGCTCGAAATATCTTAATGCCCGAACACATAAAGCGTTTCAATTTTCTGGATGATTTTATACGAAAACGCTTCCAGAGAGATTAAGGACTTTCATTTATCATTTGTTATATAGAATCTTTTGATCTCCCGCTAGGTAATTTTCGGTCGAGTTTGTGTATACCGCCTTGTTGCAACACAGTAATACCAACCTGACAGAATGGCTTTATTTGGCAATATACCGGATGTTTCAAATTTTACACTCACCATGGAGATCTCCCCCACCCAGTTTAAATGGTTTTATTTTAATAAAATTTTGTATAAGTACTTAATGAAGCATAATAAGTAAATGCTAAAAATTTCAAAATGATTGCACTGCTTTAAAGCCCTTTGACCTTTAATAATGTGTGGATGCACCCTGATGTGCTACGCATTCTCCAACGCGCCTAGGCATGCTTCTGATTAGGTGGTCAATGTCCTCCTGTGGTATCTCATTCCAGGCAACCACCAACTTCTCTCGAAGTGCTTCTAGAGTCTGAGGAGGACGTTGCAAATTGAGCAATCTCCTACCCATCATATCCCACACGTGCTCAATTGGGGATAAGTCAGGAGATCTTGGTGACCATGGTAACAATGTGACATCATTATGGTGAAAGAAGTCTATTGTGACTCTTGCAACATTAGGTCGGGCATTATCTTGTTGGAAAGTTGGATCTGCCAGGGTGTCAAGACAGGTTAAAAGATGGGGATCTAGAACTTCGTGGATATAACGCTGCGCGTTCATGTTACCTCTGATGAAGATTAAAGGTGACCTGGAACCATAAACTATAGCACCCTAAACCATAAATCCAACAGTGTGATGAACATGTCTTTCAACAAAAAACTGTGGATTCCTCCTTTCACCACGTCGCCTTCTAACCCTGGCACGACCATCGTGCATGCCTAAACAAAATCGAGACTTGTCACTAAAGACAATACTGTTCCATTCCTGATCCCAGAGTGACCGTTGTCTGCACCACTCAAGGCGATTACGTCGATGTTCTCGAGTTAAAGGGAGGACCCAGTGTGGCCGGTATGAAAACAAGCCAAAACTTCTCATTCGTCGGTAAACACTTCGCATGCCAATAGGTCTTCCGTGTTCTGCAAACCATTCATTTGCAATGGACCTGGTAGTGGAGAAACGGTCCCTTAAGGCCAATAATCTTAGGCGGCGATCTTCACGGTCTGTTGTTCTACAGCGGCGTCCAGTGCCCCTTGCTCTTTGCGTACGGCCTTCTCGAAGCCATGCCTGACAACACCTAACCACAGTGTCTACACTTCTTTGCATTCTAACTGCAATTGCCCGAAAGGAAAGTCCAGCTTCCCGAAGTCCCACTATACGGCCCCTATCAAACTCACTAAGTTGACGAAATCGTACAGGTCTCCGTACTCTAGGCATCGTAACCGATCGTAAAGGATGTCAAGAACCAAAATCCGCCAACGTTGATTCTTTACTGCGGCTAAAATATTCATTTTTAGAGCGTTAGTGAATTAAAAAAAAGGCAGTATAAAAACCGAAATGTTCAACTGATAAGGCTGAAAATTTTTTCACTTGTTAGTTACAGTAAGATAAATACATTCACCAACTTTTATTAAAATAAAACCATTTAAACCGGGTGTTCGGATTTATATGTCACTTAGTATAGTAAGAGACACGAAGTGGCTTAAATGTAGCTAAAGTTGCATATCTAGGTAGCTAGGAATTACTTCTGGACAGAGAGGGAAATTACAAAGAGTTTATATTACAGTAGTAGATGGTCAAACAATTAATCAAAATAAAATTATAATAAAATTTAAGTTGTTAATAGAATAATTCAATTCAGATTAAAAAGCGTGGCCAAACGCTGAATTTTATTGAGTTTGGTCTTAGTTGTCTCAGTTCCAATGCAAGGCCACTAGACCAGGGAGTCGTACAAGAGAGATCAGTGTACACCAACAACATGTCTGTAGGCCCACATTGAATTGCGATCCTTGTTAACCTTGTATTCAATATGGTCCCTCCAGTTTACGTTGCAGACCAGGATAATTCCTAAATACATAAAACCGAAAACGGTTTTTGGTATATTTTCCAGTTTGTTCGTAAAACTACTTTCGATGCGCGTTGGGACACCATGTAGATATGAACGCTAACGACATAGGTCTTGAAATCTCCTGTATAATCAGGAGGTAGTTGATAAAAAGAAACTTTGTATAGTCCAGACCAGCTCGGTTGGTTGAATATTAAAGTACCTAACCAACTCGAAGGCAGATGGCAGACAATCGCAGAAAACCCTGTTCGTGTGTGTGCGGGAAGTTCACCCCTGTACCCTAATGAGATTCATTAGGCGCCCCTCTTGACAAAGGAGAAACAAAACAAGATCATGACAAGTGGAAACTTAGTGCTAAGTGTTCCAGCCACAGGGAGACTTTCACGACAGTCGGCGCAGAACACGGCACTCAAAGTGGGTGGATTTGAGGGTTGCAAGTGCATTGCACTCATTGGAGCAAGTCATTATAGGTTAAACTAATCAGAGGATTTCTGATGACCGCAAAAATATTGTCAATTATTGTAGGCGTTCTTGTTCGTAGGTATCCATACAGATATACAGGGAGCCGTATTCATAAAAGTGAAGCATATCCTCGGAAGCATAAGGTCTTGCTTCGGAGAAAAAGGTAGAAGTATAAGCATATCCTTGTTTTCATATTCATAATGATTACCTTATACTCGCGACGATATCCTGCAAGAAGAAGTAAAAGGTTGACTGGTATTTGTATCTAGAGCGTCATGTCCTGACTTGTTCCAGCTTGTAGTTGACGTGGGAGTTCGTTCATTCAGCATCACTGACAGTTGTACTCCAGAGCTTACACAGACCGTTCCGTATTTTTACTGGATATAGTTTTTTATCAAATTAATAAGCATGTCATCCTCAAGTGATGAGGAAACTATAGAAAGTAATGGCAAACGACCTGCAGATGAAATTGCCATTGCTCCTACTATTTTGCAAAAGTCACAAGTTCCATAAATAAAAATGAGAAAGGACGATGCCTTGAAGAAGATATTGAAAAAATACGAATCAATATTCCGTAAACCATTAAATACTAAAGGCTTATTAAAAAAATCAACAACATGAAATCGAGATTGAAGAAAAAGCAGATCTAAAAAAAACTGGTAATAAGCAATTAAATTGTTAGATTGGGAAAGAAGGTTGCTGGAAGGTGACTGTAATCCTACAATTGGGAAAATTAGAGCTGCCATTCAAGGTTGAAAAGCTTATTATAATTTATTTATGCACCTGGAGTAGGATTTCTGAAGGGAGTCATAAGGCATGGCTCAATACCATAACCGCCATCGCGAAGAAGTACAACATTTGCTTTATTTATTAGTTGTGATCTAGTCTGTGAATTTCTCCATATTCTGGAATCATGCACTGATCCAGGCCAACTGACATCAACATTTGTGAACACCTCTCTGGCATTACAAGTGTCTTGCACATTTAAAGTAGGTTTCCCTTTTCGGTTGATATATTCATCTCCATGGCGATTTGGTTTCAGGATTCCTATATGTGTACAATCAATTACACCAATTGCTGGCGGAAATTTATACATGCTTTGCCATATCCGCTTGGCCTTCATCAGTTCATGGTTGGTAGTTGGAAACTTGATCCATTCGTTCACAACTCTATCCACAGTCCGAGATACCGTTGCTTGACTAACACCAAGTTCCTGACCAATACCTTGTTGATACCCAGGGTCACCGAGATGGCGTAGACATATCTTCATTTTATGAATACATGAAAGTGCTCCTCCTCGAGTTTCCTCATTCTCAACTAAATATCTGTCCGCAAGCCATTGTACATTTGCTTCGTCGAACCGATATAATTTTTTGAAGGTAAACGAGGTGTGTACGTTTTAACATCCCTAACATCCACAATTTCCGCCATCATCGTTTGACTACCTTTCGTTACGAAGTTGAGTCTGCTACTGACCACACCCAGAATTTTTGAAGGACATGCTCAAGTATAAGGTGAAGATTATAAATATCCTTTTACTTATGTCACTGCTTTGAAGGATATGCTTATACTCAAAAAAGCAAAAGCATTTACTTCAAATTATTATAAATACCATCTGGAGTGTTTCCTAATTGAATGTCAATATTTAAAGTGGATATCTTTGGGTCCACTTTGGAAGGAAAACTTTGTATGTCAGGGTATTAAAGTTATTAAGGTAATTTTGACCAATTATTTACTTAACTCTAAAGCCGCGTACAGACCGAAAATCCAACGCCGAGCAAGCGAATGCAAGCACTGTCGAGACCAAATCAAACCTCCCTTTGATGTACCGATCGGGGAGCGAACGCAATCGAACGCCAACGCCGACCTTGGAAACAGTTAGCTTATGTTGTATAAATGCACTATTAATGGATGTTCTCTCTTTATGAAGTAAAAAAGATTAAAATTACCTTATTGTAAAAAAACACAACTGAATACTAAAAATATATTTTAATTGTATTTCCTTCACACGCTATGTATAAGAAAAACGAAGGGTAGGGAAGCTCCGGCACTTTTTTCATACGAACCTGTGTCATTACTTTTTTAAAATTGACATACTTCGTCCAACGGTGTTTCAAATTCATTAGAAAGTTCGTCTCTGCATCCTTATATAAACAAAAAGACCATCGTTGATAAACTTACTACTTATTGTGCCGGCGACGGGGAATCTTTCGCGACAGTCGCCGTAGAAGACAACACTCAAAGGGGGTAAGTTTGAGGGTTGCAAACACATCGCTTTCTGAAGTTCGCACTCATTGGGGTAGGTCACCATATTCGAGGCACATACGGGTTCGTCACCAGACCCGGCACAGTCGGTGGGACAGACGCATTCACCAGCTTCACATCGGCTGCCATATTTGCATTCAACCCCTTGGCATAGATCTGGAAGGAAATGAAAATCGCCCTATTTGTCATTTGCCATTTACGGTTTGCACAAAAATACAGGGTGTCCGCAAAGTTGGGGTTGTCCTTTTCAGAAACAACTACCCTTGAAATAACAAAGGTAATGTGTAGTGAAACGAGCGCGACCAAGTAAAAAAAAATAAAGGAAAAAGTACTCACTCTTCAGTTGACGAGAAGGGCTAAGTACGTCTCTGCCCGAAATCATACCGCTCCAACAGAAAATGAAATCAGCTGATGTGCTACCGAGCAGACGCAGGCGGTGGTACAGACCACGAACAGAGGTAACAAATATGACGGCGTTGCCGCGTTTTCAATTTTCAGGTAAACGTACTTTATAGGTATTGTTCGAAGTTATCGTCGTTTGATTCAGAAACACAGGTGCGTGCACGACGTAGCCAAGCATCGGTGCAGGCTTTGAGAATGGAGTCCCTCCCCCGAATGAAAGCACCAGCTTGTTCAATTCTGAGACGAAGTTCGTCAACCGTATGCACTTCAGTTTTGTACACTAAGCGTTTCATTTCTCCCCAAAGAAAAAAATCACATGGTGTTAAGTCTTGAGATCGCGGAGGCCACGCTACGGGTCCATTACGTCCGATCCACCTATTCGGAAATAATCCATTCAAAAACTCACGCACTTCGCGTCTAAAATGGGGCGGTGCACCATCGTGCAGAAACCACATTGATTGTCTTACACTTATTAGCACATCTTCTAACAAGGAAGGCAAAATGTTGCGTGAAAAGTCTAGGTATTGCATCCCGTCCAATCGATTTGGGAGAATAAATGGTACAATGAGCATACCGTTCACCATGCCAGCCCAAACATTCACCGAAAATGTTTGTTGAAAATGTGCCCGACGGACAGCGTGCGGATTTTCTACTGACCAAACATGAGTGTTGCGAAAGTTATTCACCCCATTACGCGTGAACGTTATTTTTTTTTGAAACGCAATCCATTATACGGGTTCGTTTACCTCTACACGCGTGACCGTAACCGTCGGTTGAAGGTTGCATACTCATCTGACACACTGACGCCGACCCAGTTCTGTCGTCGGGTTGAGCCAGTGACCTTGTACCACTCGGTGATGTCGCGGGTCGCGGCTACAGGACGGTATTCAGATATTTTTGATGTTGCAGAGCCCTTTATCTCGGTTCCCTTAAGACATTGGTGTATATGGTACTAAGAAAAATTGCTTATGTTTTCAAGATCTACACGTCGTGTAAAGGAAAACGCCAACTTTGCGGACACAATGTATAGCAATGTGCCAGGGTTCATCCTGTGCTACGTCCCTGACTCCTTTGCAGAAGCTTGTTTAATGAATGTTGTTTATAGGAAAACAAACGGTTTCAGTAGGTTCAACAAGATATTAAATTTATATGTCAAACTTATAAAATTCTTCAATCTCTTGTAAATGTTTTCGGTGCTGTTTTACCGCAAATTAACTATGTGCTTGTAGTTATTTCTGAAAAGGACAGTGACGACTTTCAGGGCACCATGTATATGTCGAAATTGTTAGTAACTTAGTATGCTTATACCGATATAATTCAAAATAACCCATATCAACTAAACTAGCAATGACACTTGTCTCTGACAAAACTGTTGGGAATCCCAAAACTCGCCAAATATATTGCTGTTATGAAATTTTGTTCAGAGAAAAAAAACCGGTAACGACCGCACATTATTCAAACAGCCGTAGCAAGAAACAAAGAGAATCAACCGGGAAAAGAAGAACCCTCCTGTCAATTAGGGAAGGTTTTCTCTCAGTGGCTGTCCAGAAGGGGTAACAAAGGATAGCACATTATTTACACGAGCCCCTTCCCACTTCAGTTGGCCCAACTATTGAAATCTTAGTTTTTTTCTTATCAAACACGAATAATAAAAATGTAGCAGGGTATTTTTTTTATCACTCCCTAATCAAATTTGCAGCCTAAAAATAACATGTTGCAATTACAGCATATCAACCTATTTTCATTTCAATGCAAAATAAGTCTATAACGCATAGGTGGCTGTGAAAACTAAAATCCATGACAATTGTTTTTATTAATCACATTCACCATTTTTCCACAATTGAATGGAACACTATGACTGTATGGAACCCACGCACTTTTATACTTCGCACTTCTTGTGAACTGCGAACAACTGCCAAGATTGTAGCGCAAGCCTGTTTGACTTGTAGTATGAACTTTCATCCTGACTATGAGGTTTTGAAGACAAACAAAGCACATAGTCTGAATTCGTTGTTACTAATTACGGCTGCCTACGCTACTGTGGCGCTGAAACGTGAAAAATGCTTTGTGTTACGAGACTCACCGCAGTTCCCCTTGTACGCCAATAGAACGAATTGCTTCGTTTTGCAGGAGTTGATGCGTAGCTCGCATTCGGTGGCATAGGTGACTCCATCTGTGCCGCACACGGTACCGTTGGTCAACTGCAATGAAACAAATGCATTTAACTGTCAGTTAGCCACTATCCGATGCACGGTAATATCATATCTACAACACTGGAATACAAACAGCGCACTCCAATAAAACCGTACGTGATGTCAATGTCTATTAAGGGGAATACACCCACGGTAAGTGGCATCTGCAGGGTTGCTGCTGAGGTATCAGGCTAGGTTGAGAGAAAACAGCATCAAGTAGAACTTCTACAGGGTCCGTCAGAAAGAACGCATGTTTTTTAAATGAGTAGTAGAGTCAAGATAAGTATGGGAAAAATATTTCATTATATCAAAATACTCAGAAATATTATGTATTTTTTTGAATAAAACTAAATGTGTATGATAGTAACAAATTACGCTAGACCCTTTCCCACGTCCCTATAACCCCGTACGTCTCAAATTTTAGCCCTAAGAAGTTTTTCAAAAATGATCAGGACCTCTGAAACGTCAAAAAACGCACTTTGAGCATTTTCTACGCCGCCAATGGACCGCTTTCATAAACTACAAAGCCTTTTAGTCATTGGCATAGCAGCAACCTTGTGTGAAAGTTTCATCCAAACTCCTACAGTGCTTTCAAAGTTATGGACGGGCCAAGTATTTTCGGACAGACTGACAGAGACGAATGATATGGTTTTTATACAACATCCAAAAAACAATACCACAGTCTTCGAAATGGGATGAGAACATGGGGTTGCCAAAAGTTTTCGTGATTAGTTAGCAATGCAGGCATTAGCAAAAAACTGAAAGCTTCTACAATTTTTTTAAGTACACATGGTATTACGACTTTTGGGTCTCGATGCCAATATGTCGGTAAGCAAAAGTATGTATTTTTGAAATTTTGGTTGCCAAAGTATATTCTGTTATGGTAAAATACCAAAATTGATGACAGTAGCGAAACTCATCGTACGCCACTGCTGTTATGCGGAGGCGTTCGAAAATGCGTCAAAGCAGTGGCGCACGATGACTTCTGCTACTGTCATCAATTCTGGTATTTGACTATAAGAATATTTCAACATCTCAAGGTATTTAGGTATAAGTTATTGCCACCGATTTTGACCTTTTGGTACTAGCTTCAAACATCATCTTCAAAAAAAAAAAGATACATATGGCTTCGGGGATGAGACGCTTATTATAGTTTATGACACTAATGGCTGCATGCAATGCGTCGACATACAAGTACACTAAAGTTGAAAAACAGTTTTGCTGAATTCTCGCCTATAACTGTACGACCAGTGCAACGTAAATATTTGGATATAAATGAATAAAAGGGATGCAGCTTCACATCCTTTTTAACAAAGCCAATTTGCAACGTTCAGCATCAACTTTCACTGCTTTATGACATCAAAAAAAGGCATCCATATATTCTGCCAAGCTCCGTGTTGCACCGGAGAAAAAATAATACGAATAACGAAAAGGTATAGGAGATACCTCTCATCTCTGGTTCCAAACAATGTTCCCATTATGATTTTACTTCCCAGGCCTACTGGCGAGGAAGTATTGTATTGAAAAATTCTGAAAAAGAGATACGTGTTTGCATGTTATATGACGTGTACATAACGAAAAACCACGTCACTCATTTCCATCGGTCTGCCGACTGTCCAGTAATCCTTTGCCCTTCTATGACTTGAAAAGCATTGTCCGCATTTGGATGAAATTTTTAAACAAACTACTATGCCAAGGACAAGAGAGCATGGTAGCTTTTAAAAATCGGTCCAATGCCTAAAACGCTCATATTTCTTTTTTCGACATTTCAGAGGATCCTGATCATCTTGAAATAGGGGATTATGGGTTCGTAGAGGAGTGAGCAGTTTTTTTATGTTTTATATTAATACACGTCCAACCTCGGTAATTCTACTTACCTATTAGGGATATTGCTCAAAACGATATACGAGGTTTGTTCAAAAAGTATCGTAAATTTTGAATTTTCGCTGGCTACGTATGTTCGATTTTCGATCAGACGAAAACATTATGGATGAGTTCTTGTCGCAGGGTAGAAGGGTCAATAAGCAATATTACCTTCAAGTAATGCCCGGATTTGTGGAAGAACAAAAATTGACTTTTGCACCACGATAACGCCCCTGCTCATGCATCGTTACTTGTGCGCGAATTTTTGGCCAAAAACAACACTCCAATAATGCCTCACCCACCGTATTCCCCAGACCTGGCCCCCTGTGACTTTTTCTTGTTCCCGAAACTGAAGAGGCTCATTAAACGTTATCACAAGTGTGATGGTGATTACTTTGAAGGGAACAAAATAGATATTCGTGAATAAATAAATAATTACTGGAAAAGCATGAAATTCGCGATACTTTCTGAACAAACCTTGTAGAAATGTTTTCGTCTGCTCTCTGACATCAACGGCCGCCGTGCCGGTCTTTGTAACTGTCCCCGCATGATTGGCGCTCTGCCGTATCTGACGGATCCTGTATTCCGGTATAAGAGGGAGGCGACGTTGCCGGATAGACGGTACTAGGGGTAGGGCAGGGATATAATGTTATGGACTTGTTTGATGGACTTGATCTAGATAGATACATTTATTGTCTTGTCGATCATAAAATGACATAAGGCTCGTCCTAAGAGGAGATACATACCACAAACGAAGAAAAGTAAAATAAAACAAATATAAGTATTTAAAAAGTACAAACAGAAACAATTTAAGGCGTACATACATTCACATATAAAGAAGTTTTTCAAATATATCACAGTGCGAGGTATTCAGACAAAGAGTAGAAATATTTTTCAACCAATAATTTTCGTAGTGGACATTTAAAACCAGCAATGCTACTGACATTGCTAAGTTTGTTAATGCAAGTGTAGTGTGGTGACTTTCCAAACAGCGTCATTGTGTATTTTGGAATACTTAAACTCTCATCTGCCCTTGTATTATAATGTGTGTTGATGTTTTTGTTCTGTATAAATTTTGTGTGAAAAGGGCGCATTTATAAATATGAATGCTTGGTAGAGTCATGAGTTTCTTACTCTGTTTAATTTATGACCTATGCGTGTGAAGTGCAGAGTCAACCTACTTGACGTCATTTGTTTACTTACTTTTGCATCAGAACAGGCTTCAGGGCAAGCGCATCGTCCCTCCGTGGCTCCATCATTTTCACATACCGAATAGAAGTCGCATTTCTTGTTTTCACAGCCGTCTGAAAAAAAAATTGTTTATTAGTAACAAACGTAACATGTGTAAACGATTTTGGAATTGTATTTTGCATTGTCTCGTGGCAAAATCATTGTTGTCGGATGGTTAGTATCACAAAGGAGAAATTTCTAAATCGTAACGTTGTCAAACGGGTCGCGACTGGTAATAATTGTAAGGGTCTATTTGACTGACTTGATCCTCTGTTATACATGTTCCTAGCAAACTTTTTCTATGAGGGGGTGGAGAGTCAGTTTACTTGACGCTTTTTTTTTCGAATATGGTCGGCGCAAATGAGAGAAAAAACATCCGAACGTTGTAAATGGAAATATGTAGCTTGATATTACTTATTGCCTCTTATAAATGATGTCAAGTAGATCGACTATATACAGGGTGACTTCGAAGTTGAGTCATTTATTTTAACAGTGGATAGATCTGATCAAAAGAAATGTTTTTTCCTTTAACATTTCTCTGGTAAAATCAAAGTAACAAAGTTATAGCCCTTTAGAAGTTTGAGTACCGCCCTGTCTCAATAATAATATTATGTGCTCGTGTTTGGCAGCAACGGATATAATCCGCCTTATCGGTTCATCGCATCGGAAACAAAAAAGCGAAAGAATTTGAAACGCTTATCACCATGTTTTTACTACAATTTTATTCAGTTGTATTCAGTCAATGTGTCAGTCGGTAACGCGTGAGTGAATAGTGGTGTTTGTTGCGCGGCTCAAACCAAATTAAAAATGGCACATGTTTACGAAAATGCTGAACTTGTGGACATGATTCTTATTTACGGGGGGGAGTCTTTACAAAATGCTGCCGCGGCATCACGAATTTATGCGGATCGGTTTCCCAATCGAGTGCAACCAACCCCTTGTGCCTTTGTTAATGTAGTACAAAGGGCTCGTGAATCAGGTGACTTAAGACCTCACAGGGGAGGGCATGCTGGTGCTCCAAGACCGCATGATCAAATACAGGTCCGCACTAAAATACTTGTCGGGAGGATACTTTATAAAACAAGGTAACGTTTTTTTTTTAATTTTTTTTTATTTTTACACACACATATTTTGGTTTATCTTCCTTCTACAATCATTATCTGAAAATTAATGACTAAACTTCAAAGTCACCCTGTACAGGTATCTGATATGCAGTTAAATAAGGTTGTTACACATTTTGATTGAATCTTAGCTCACTTAAGATAAGTTCATGAGATACTGAATAATAGCTACTAATTGACGACTGGAAGATTTTTTGTGGATCAACCGAAGGATAGCAACTCGACTTTGTTTACCAAGAGTGATTAAAGACAAAGTTTTCAGTAGTTCTCCGAATAGATAAAGTAGCTAAATCCGCTATATTTCTCTTAGATCCCAATCCAGTGGCCCGTGATTTTGATATTTTTAATTTAGTCTGGCAAAGTATACGAACTTCGAGGCTTAACTTTGTGAATTATTGAAAACGAGCTTCGGAGTGGTTGATAGTGCCTCTCTTTCTTCTCTTGATACCAATGATGATTAGCGTTATCAGAAACTGTAATTAAAGCTTGTCAAAGTTGTTAATTACTTCCATATAGTTATTAAAAATCGCCAACTCTTATCACTTCTAGTGCGTTTTCAGTTTCCTCGTCGTCGAGTGTTTCCGCCTGTCTCGACCTTATTGTCTGTGAAACTTGACACGTTAACTGCGGAAGGGGTGATTGTTAGTCTGACGTATAGTGAGTTAAATATCTCCGGCGCACCTGCCAATGTGGCTGGAGTTCTATGGGAATCTTTTTTTACCAATCACAAATTTCCCAACTTAGACGAAAATACCTTCGGTTTGCGAAATAATTGTAAAGTCTGGTTTGATTGCTGCAAGTTGTTCAAGGGTGTATTCAAAAGATGGACGCATAAAATTTTTGAGGGAAAACTTTTTATTGGATAACAAAGAATGACAAAACGAGTTTTTCGGGATTCAATCGAAATAGTTGACACGAACGAAAAAAGTCTTCTTATAGAGCTGGCAACAACCAAATAATAACCCGAATTTTTTCCGCATTCTTTTCGTCGACGCAGATATCCTGTATTTATAGTTATACCTGCTTAGTTATTTGTTGCTACGGGAAAGAAACAATTTAATGTGCTGTCAGTTGTATGCAGTTTTATTTGGATAGAAAGCATGAGGTGTTACTTTGTCTACTTACTACAGGGTCCTTCGTAAAGTACGGTGATCTCCCTACGATGCTTGCAGGCTTCAAGTTTCAGCTTACACTCATTTCCATAGGAGATTCCATCGGATCCGCACACTGGCTGGAATTCTGATGAGCATTGAGGGCATTCGCAGTGTGCTGTGCCTGATCTTTCCACGCACGTTGCTCCAAACTGACACTGATGGTCTGTACAAGGACCTTTTTCTCCACATACACCTGCGTAGGCGATTTCGATGTTGGAGCGGGCTGAAATAGAACAGGAATCGTGGATAAATACATAGGTAGATATCACCAATCCATGGAAGGTGATCTTTCAAAAGCAAGATTTTTACCCAGAAAGGAGAGGATACTTTCCCGAAGACTTTTGATACGCTTATTGAACAAAGGAAGTAAAAATAATTTAAAACAAGCCCTAGAGGACAAGCAAAAGAAAGTTATTTTGTACTACCCCCCAGGTCCCAGCACAGGGTGTGAAATTAATTCACTACTGCGGGTTGTGGGCCGCTGAACTCCTACACGAGAGCACCGGAAATAGCACCAATTAACCTTCAGCTCTCGTATTTACGGTCGACCTTCACGAGATGGAGAGTAGAGTAGTTTTCTACTATAAAATTATAAGACCAAGAGAAGTGCTTTGTAATCAAAATTAAATTCGATATTTTCAAGAACTGTTATAAAATTGTTATTCTGAATAATAAAAACGTTGTAATAATTTACTTTATCAAGATATAGTTAATTTAATTTAACCTAAAAGTGAAAAAATGGTGATTTTTGCCTATATCTCAGGTTATGTGGCATGGTAAGTTTTTTTTTGTGAAAACACCATTGACATCTTAAAGAACAGCTTGCTCTTTGCTTAAAGATGTCTTTTTCGCTGAGATAAGGTAGTTTGAAATCTTATTCTCACTGTACTTGATACTCTGCAGGTTATGGTTACATGTGCGTCAAAGCTGTGGTTTATCAGTAAAAATTTGATAACTTTGACATATTTTTATGAAATAAGACCTGAAGTCCATAAAATATCTAGAACTTACCCAAACTCCAAGCCCATAACCCATCTTACCCTATCAAGGCCGAATTTTCGGGAAAGTATACTCTCGTTTTTTGGCGGTATGTACTATCCAAAATATGCTGGAAAGATTATTTTTTCCAAATATCTCGTTCTATTCTCATACCGAACCCCACCAATGAAATTTGTGAACTAACCTGAGCAAGCAGTTCTTCTGAGCTCGCACTCAGAAGGAAAAGTTCTTCCATCTTTGGAGCAAACTGGTCGCATGACTGGTTCACACGAAGATGGACACTGGCAATGTGCGATTCCAAATTTGTTTATGGCGCATTCCTCACCCATTGTACAACGGACGCTCATACAAGGGTTTATGCCTGTAACAAAAGAATGTCGTCAAGTAGGTGGACTCTGCATTTCCAACGCAATGCTGCCATTGAGAGCAAATGCTAAGTGGGATTATCGGGGCTAGGAGCGTACAAATGGGGTTTTCCTTTTCAGAAACAACTACCCTTGAAATAACAAAGGTAATGTATAGTGAAACGAGGGCGACCAAGTAAAAAAAAATAAAGGAAAAAGTACTCACTCTCCAGTTGACGAGAAGGGCTAAGTACGTCTCTGCCCGAAATCATACCGCTCCAACAGAAAATGAAATCAGCTGATGCGCTACCGAGCAGACGCAGGCAAACAAGGAAGGCAAAATGTTGCGCAAGAAGTCTAGGTATTGCATCCCGTCCAATCGATTTGGGAGAATAAATGGTCCAATGAGCATACCGTTCACCATGCCAGCAAAAACATTCACCGAAAATGTTTGTTGAAAATGTGCCCGACGGACGGCGTGCGGATTTTCTACTGACCAAACATGAGTGTTGCGAAAGTTATTCACACCCTTACGCGTGAACGTAGATTCGTCTGTTACCAATATGCACTTCAAAAAGTCCGGATTATTGTCATGTTGATGCAACAACCACTCACAAAACCGCACTCTCGCTGGAAAATCGTCAGGTTGAAGGGCTTGTACACGTTGGACGTGAAACGGATACAGCCCCTCTTCACGCAGCGCTTGCCACACTTTAGTTTTTGATACTTACACTTCTCTAGCCACGTCTCTAGTGCTTGTTGTTTTTTGAAACGCAATCGTTTATACGGGTTCGTTTACCTCTACACGCGTGACCGTAACCGTCGGTTGAAGGTTGCATACTGACCTGACACACTGACCCCGACCCAGTTCTGTCGTCGGGTTGAGCTAGTGTCCTAGTACCACTTGGGGATGTCGCGGCTACAGGACGGTATTCAGATATTTTTGATGTTGCAGAGCCCGGTTCCCTTAAGACATTGGTGTATATGGTACTAAGAAAAATTGCTTATGTTTTCAAGATCTACACGTCGTGTAAAGGAAAACCCCAACTTTGCGGACACCCTGTATACTACAGCAGAAAAAAGAGGTACACGCAACCCCCAACCTCCATCGAAAAAAAATCCAAAAATGTCCAACATCCAAAATTCCAATAAAATGGATCAAGAAACAATTTTATTTCTTTTTTCGTTTTTTTCACAAATCTTTCTTGTTCCTTAGCCCGTAGCAGCTGTGTGTCAAAATTCCAACAAAATTCAAGCAGTACGATACGATGAACAGATACACAAACCTACAGGCATACAAATTAGTGGAATAACATGCCAATGTCCTACGGCGCTCCCCTCCGGAGAAACAGCACCCTTTTTTTGTATAGTATTATTTTTTTGGGGTGGGAGGGAAGGTGGATGGTGAATTGTCCTCAGTCCCCTCCCCCATGGACACGCCTGCGATATGTACTTCATAAATCCAGTTGATTGATGATAGATATACCTTTTATACAGCAGAATCCTACTGAATACGAGTTGTGAAATAGAAATTTCGGGAATCAGGCCAGGGCGTTGATTTGCATTATGCATTTGATGCTGTCACAGTGTGGCTATTCCTGTGAACAGATTTTTACTCAACGATAACATTCGTGATGAGAAGAGATCTGCAATAACTACGTCATGGTAGTACATATATATATATATATATATATATATATATATATATATATAAATATATATATAAAACAAAAATAGGAAAATAGTGGGCAAAATCCGCAAAAAGTGGATTCGAGCAGAAAATAGGATAGGTAACCCGAGCGATATGTATTTCTGCTGGTTGGCTTCATCAGGCCCGAAATGAATGGACATATGCAACTACAAAAGTAGATACACATGCCCACACATCCGGATACGGGTGTAACCTGAGGAATCGAAGATGGAGAGGAAAAAAAGACACACGAAGTCCACAACAAGAGCCGACCTACACATTGTAGTATAAAATGGCTAGAAGACCTCGAATTTTCAAAGCGACAAATAACCACAACCACGCGGCCGGTTATAGCCACTTGCTGTGGTACTTCAAGCCCAAAGGATCTACAAAGAGAAAATTATCATGCGGAGAAAGGTATATAACAAAAATAGGAAAATAGTGGGCAAAATCCGCAAAAAGTGGATTCGAGCAGAAAATAGGATAGGTAACCCGAGCGATATGTATTTCTGCTGGTTGGCTTCATCAGGCCCGAAATGAATGGACATATGCAACTACAAAAGTAGATACACATGCCCACACATCCGGATTTTGCCCACTATTTTCCTATTTTTGTTATATACCTTTCTCCGCATGATAATTTTCTCTCTATATATATATACAGGGTTATCCAAATTAAGTGTCCATCATTAGTAACTTTGTTATTAGTGAAAATACAATGTTGTTTGAATTAGCAAACTAGTAGCATTTTTAACGCTGGTAAAAATGAGAAATAAAAAAAAACAATTGAGAGTCGTTATTTTGATTTTTTTCAGTAAAATAACATTTTTTTAAATGGAAACCCCTGTATATTATATTTTTTTCTGTTAAAGCATCAAATTTTAAACAAAAAAGCTTACAATAACTTTTCTCCTAGGTTACAAATTGTTGAAGTTATGGCCTCCAATCTGAAACAATTAAATTGTATCGACAAACTTTATTTTCAACATCAACTTATAATCTTACAAAATACAATAACAATTTTTTTTAAAGAAGATGCTCGAAAACACCACCTTGTTCTGCAATACATTTTTGGGCACGTTTTTCAACTGCTCGAACTGTCTTAAGTATGGTCCTACCATCTATCTGGGTTATCTTTTCCCTAACTGCAGTCTTTAACGCGTCAAGGTTATCGTACCTTCGCTTGTAAATTTGGTTCTTTAAGTAACCCCACAAGAAGTAATCAAGTGGGTTTAGATCTGGTGATCTGGGAGGCCACTGTATTGGGCCATTTGTTCCTATCCACTGATCATTAAAAGTAGTACTTAGAAAATGATAAGTACCTCTGGAGTTGTGGGCAGGTGCGCCATCTTGCTGAAAATGCAGATGATGTCTACTTATAAGATCCAATTCGTCTAAGAAATTAGTCAGAATTTCTGACATAAATTCCAGTTAGGGTTCCCTCATAAAAGAACGGGCCAACAATTTTTGAACCAATTATACCGCACCAAACGTTGAAACTGAAACGGACTTGTGGGCCTCTTGGATGTACTAACAAAAGATTTTCTCATGACCAATAATGGTGGTTTTTTCTATTAAACATTCCAGAATTTGAAAAATTTGATTCATCTGTCCATAAAAGGTAACGAAAGTTATTTACATTTTGGCGACAGAAGCTAAGATACCATTGGCAAAAAACAAACTTCTCTCTGGATCCCCTGCCAAAAGCGTTTGAACTGGTCGGTACTTATACGGAATAAATTTGTATTTTTTTAAAATCCTTTGAACAGTACCATAACTGAAATTAGAGTCCTTGAGAATATCTGCTATTGAATTCTCACGATAAGCTTCAAAATATCCAATAACTGCAATTTCCGTGGCCTCGCTTATTATGAATTCTTTTTTTGCCCTTGTTTTAGCAAAAACATTTTCGTTGCCCCTAAATTTTCGATAAAGTCTCAGAAAATATCGTTCATACGGTTGAATGCGAGCGGGATATAATTCACTGTAGTATTCTCTTGCTCTCAAGGAGGATTTTCTTCACACTAAATAGCATTCTAACATATCACACTTTTCTTCATGGGAGAACATTTTTCTTTAAATTAATGACACAATAAAGCTTATAAACAAGTATTTACACTAATGTTTGACATTATTTGATTTTATCATTGTTTTCCAAAGCCTTCTAGTTGCGAGTATGTCCAGTTTAACAATTTGTCGCTTATCTTAATGCTGTCAAATCGCGAACGCCATGTTGTTTTCATAGCCGTCTTAATATTATAATACTGCAAATAATTAAAAATATTTATCGTTATTTTGACTTTATTTTTGACTTTAGCGGAAAAGTCATTATGAACTTTTTTGTTTAAAATTTGATGCTTTAACAGAAAATAAATATAATATACAGGGGTTTCCATTTAAAAAAATGTTATTTTACTGAAAAAAATCAAAATAACGACTCTCAATTGTTTTTTTTTATTTCTCATTTTTACCAGCGTTAAAAATGCTACTAGTTTGCTAATTTAAACAACTTTGTATTTTTACTAATAACAAAGTTACCAATGGTGGACACTTAATTTGGATAACCCTGTATATATGTGTATATATATGTGTATATACAGGGTGACTTTGAAGTTGAGTCATTAATTTTCAGATAATGATTGTAGAAGGAAGATAAACCAAAATATGTGTGTAAAAATAAAAAAAAATTCAAAAAAAAATGTTACCTTGTTTTATAAAGTATCCTCCCGACAAGTATTTCAGTGCGGACCTGTGCGCCCAAAAGCATGTCACAAAAACTGTTCGAAATGATTTCCGTTTTGCTCGACGCACAGCTGGGCGCGTCTTAGCCATGTCTCTTTACAAGCACGCAATAAAATCACTGGTTGATTTCTGATCACTGTACTCATTTCCTCAATTCGAGCACGTAATTCTTCGCGTGTATTAACCGGTGTTTTATACACTAGAGTTTTTAGCCAACCCCACAAACAAAAGTCTAAAGGATTTAAGTCCGGAGACCTTGGCGGCCAAGGTACAAAACCGCCACGGCCGATCCAACGATTATTAAATTGTCTATTTAAAAATTCACGCACATTTCTTGCATAATGGGGTGGTGCCCCATCTTGTAAAAACCACATGTTTTGTCTAATATTTAAAGGCACATCTTCCAGTAAACCAGGCAAATTGTGTTGCAAGAAATCAAAATAATTTTCACCAGTTAAGCGATTTGGTAATTCAAAAGGCCCCACTAAAATTCCATTAATAATTCCCGCCCACAGGTTGATTGGTTCAAATCGCTGTTGAAAATTGGTTTCCCTTATTTCATGGGGATTTTCAATAGCCCAAACG